AGAAACGAGATTCTACCGGTTGAATTCCTCGATGATTGATCCGCCGCGGTAGCCTGACGTCGTGCGATTGCACGAGATGTTTAACTCCAATTACCCGAGGCTGGGATTAAAGCAGTCGTGTCCGTCGTCATCGGCATCACGTTTGGGTGGCTTCCAAGCCGGGGGAAACGCAGCGACGGGCACTCGCGAGAGAACGCGTCACTCGTCCTCGTCGTCGGTGGCGACTCGGCCACTTTACGCGCGCGCGAATCTACAAAAGAAGCACGCATGCATGGACGGTACTCACGCACGCACGTACGTATTCACGCACCGACGCAGCCGCACGCAAAAGAAAGCAATTAGGCGGCAACAGTGGACGTGCGGCGGAAATAGATGGTTCATTGATTTCCCCGGCGAACCACGCACGAATCGCGATGCCCGGTAAAATAAGGTGCCGCCGGTTACGTGATTTATTTAAATGCCGATCTTACGCGCCGGTAATCAAGGTGAAACCGAAGCACATCGCCGACATAGCGACATCGTGTTCATTCCGCGTTACGCGACTTCTCCTCTTCTTTCTTCTTCTCGTCTTCGGCATTCCGCTCGGAAGTACGACGGGATTCGCGCCGATGCTTCGCTCGCGCCTTATAAATTTTCCAACAGCGGCACCGATGACAGTCAATGGCCCGATGACAGGATGAGACGGTTCCGAGGATGAATGTCCTTCCGAGTCCGTTCCGTGTTCCGGCGCGCTGATTTTATGATTATAATCACGATCGCCGATTGATGTATTTCATCGGCGTAAGCGTGCTTTTTAATTACCGGCGAACGACGTAAAAAGAAATGTTAATGTTGCTGCTGCTTTCAATTATCCGCGAACAGGTTGTCGTCGCGACCGGTCGAATTTTTGTCCCGCCGGTAAAATGTGTCTCTCCATCGGCCGAAGGAAACAGGCTCGTCGGCAGCGGAGCACAAACGGCGAGCGTACGCGAATGTTTAGAAGTACGATTGCCCCTTTCCGGGGCGATGCCCCGAAGGCGAACGAAATGTATTGTACCAAGAAAAATAATCAACCGATTCTCGAGGATCCTTCTTAGTACTTGACGTGATAAGCGAGTGATTAATTGTACTTTACTTGGTCTCTACCGTTTGAAAACTATCTGAACTCAGGGTCTACCCTGCTCTCATCACCACTTACTCTGCTCTACCCTCAGGGTGGAGTTTCCGAACGCAACTTCATTGGAATTACGAGGCCTACACGCGTTTTCTCTCGTTCACTCTCTCTTCTATGTATTGTGTCAAATTCTATATCTTATTTCTATTCTCCTATTACTCAGTTTGACCTGCAACCTCAGTTGCAAGGAAAAGGGTCTGTGTCAGCTTTCGTAAATAAGTTATTGCCATTTTGTTTCAACGACTCAGGCGACTCGCACCAGGCCTCTGAGACTAGTCAGCATTAAATCTCACAAGCCTTTCACGTTCTTAAAAACGCTCATTCTACAAATTTCTATTTTTTTTTCTGTTTTGTCAGGCTTAATAACAAGATATTTCTTTTTATTCTAAATTTATTTTGTATTTAAGTGACAATTTCAAGGAAGTTTTTATGTTAAAATAAACCCAGTAAGCAAGAAATAATTAACACAACGTCATTACAATGACATTTTTTATCAAATATAACGTTTCGAAATATGTGGTTCTTCAGGTTGTATACAACATCATAATAAAAACTAAATGAATTATAAATTAAGACAGAAAAGGTTAGATTCATATGACTTCGGCTGTCATCAGCCTGATCCAATGAGACAACTGGTTTCCAACCAATCTACAAAGAATAATATAGAAAGACAGTAAATAAGAATTGGAAATAAACTAGATAAATCAAAGTAATTAAGAAAAAAATTGCAAGAAACCATTATTTTTACAAGTTATTTTTTCGTGATATACAGCCTGGGAGACCTATGATGGTACTTCAGCGTTGTACATGTATTGTACCTGTATTGTAAAATCGCGGGTGTTATCCTCAGGCTTAGTGCGCCACACCGCGCAACAAAGTTGCAGCGCTTCGAGTGCGCGAAAAGCGCGAGCGTCGCCGATCGGAAGTCTCCTTATCGCGCGATTTGCAATGTACTTGTAATATAATTGCGGTTTTTGCAAAAGCTATCGCGTATAATATCGGAAAATTGAGATTTCAATTCCGATTTTTGCGACGATGATGCCGTTCTTTCTATCGGTTAGGGCTACAATTATCACAGCTGAGGCGAATGCTAATTTTGTCCTCGATTAACGATCACATGCCCCGGCTTCATTATTGTAATACCGGTTCTACAAGAGTAAGTTCTTACGGCCGTAATCCCCGAGGGTGTCGCAGTGTTCGCTCGATTCGCTCGCGGAATATTCGGAATCACGCGTCCTATCGAGAGGCGTTCCTGTAAAATCCACAAATTATCCGGAGTCTCCACAGTCGATGCTGTAAGCTTTTAATCTTTTGCCCTGAGCAATAAAGTGTAACATAATTTCTAACAAGAAGCATTTCCCGCTGCCAAAAGTAGCAGTAACGCTGAAATTTTAGGAATTACGACGTCCAGTAGGGCTGAAAATGCTTTTTACTAGAAATTTCGTTACAATTTAGTATTTAGAGCAAAAAACTAAAGTTCTACTACACCTCTTGCGGATCTGGACTTAGGATTAAGCTAATTCATTAAATCCAATTTTAACAGCTTCATTAAAGTTCTTCTATCAGCGTACTTCAACCAAAGTTCAGCTTGACTTCGCGCGGTCACCGCCGTTCTCGCTTAACCCAATTCCACCGTCCACGAACAAAAGAGCGCGCGGGAATGCAAATCAGATGGCACTTCCTAGGTTAAGTTCCGATCGCCGAGCGAGCCGACGTGAGACCGCGGTTTCAGCAAAGGTTAGCGTGGTCTAGTTACGAAGACGATATTCTTGGATCAGCTCTCTTCTTTCTCTCTCTCTCTCTCTCTCTTTCCCTCTATGTCTTCCGATCTAGTCGCTCGAGTCGTTCGTTCTGCCTCACTCGATATCCTTTCGGATACCGAATTGCTCAATTGGCTCGTTGCTGCGGAGAAGGCGGTCCCGTTATTTTCACGTGTTGGAAAATTTCTCGCCGTGGGGACAAAGTGACAAAGCCGCTCCGTCGGAACTGCGTTCTAGACTGATTAGAACGCAGCTTATCGAGCGGATAATACAGGAGAAGCATCGGTCGATAGTCGAGGCTCGGGCTGCAGTAAGAACGGTCGAAATCGATTAGATAATTCGACAAAATTTTTCAAGCTGCGCACGACGAAGCGCCGGGAGACGCGTGGCACGGCATTCTTCGTCGGATAAGGTCATCGCGCGCGATAAAAAGGCATGCCGGCGAATTAGGACACGCCGATGAAATCGAGTGACGTCGAGCGGCGTGTCGAGTGGCCGAGGGTCTCTCTCTCTCTCTCTCTCAATATCGGCCGGATAAATATCGTGAATGGACGGAGAATATCGGCTGTACCGTGGTATTAACGTCGGACTCGGCGCGCGTGGTTCAAGGGTAACGCTCGATTACACGTTCATTAATCACACACAGACGGCACGAGTCTATCGGGCGCGGCCGTTCGGATTGAAACTCTATACACTCGGCCGGGAAGCCGCAGCGGTTTTAGAAAAATCGATCGCAGGTGTCGACTCGGATTAAAGGCACTCGGACGATAGAGAGAGACCGCAGAGAGTGCGCTTTCGTATTGCGTGCGCGTGTATCATATGTTAACGTGTCGCGGATTAATCGGCAGCTCGAGGAGACGATAGAAGCACATTGCGCCTTAGGGATTTGCTTTGAGCTATCGGACGCAGGAATAACAAAAAATATAAGGTAATCGTACCAATGCTTGGACACGCACCTGGTTTCCGACACTCTTGTCATTTTGATCTTTGAATGTTTGAGCTTTCAACGTAGAATATGTACGCATATATTTTGTGTTTGAAGTTTAGATATTCGTATTTTTAAGGGTCAAAACAATAGGAGTGGCTGGAGTTCGGTGTGTGTCCGTTTAATGGTGCTTTTATTTTAATAGCATTTCTGATCTAGCGTGATAAGGTTCTCTACAAAAAATCAACATACGATATATTTAATACTGATTTGCTATTGGTTATAATTCAACTTTGATCGGAAAGTCATTGCACTCTTGGAAATGAATGCAATGCACTTTGTTGATTAAATTTTTATCTTTGCATAATTGAACGCGGTCACGACAGAGTTTCTTATCCGCTACTTTATTGAGGCGGTGGGAGGGAAGGCGAGATTTAATTTAAGAAATTGTCAGAGCCGAATATACGCTGGTGGTTATTGTTAGTTGTCCGAAGATGAAGAGAGGTGGTAAGTCCGATACTGAAGCAAAATTATGATCTCGAGATAACGTTATGCAATCGACATGTACGCCCGTCGAAAATAACCCCCTTAGGCGAATCATCGCAATAGCATTCCAATGCCAAATGAAATTTGAACCAAATTTTCTAACGCGTTTCGCTGTTGCGTAAGACTTCGGGAGGTTTAAACAATTATTAAAAAAAAAAATGAAGAAGAATACAGGCATGGGAGCGACTCGCTTTCCTTATCTTTTCCTCACTTATTTCGAAATATCTTACTTTTTCTCACTTTTAAGAAGAAAAAAAAAACTCACTTTCTCGTCTTTTTCTCCCATGACTTGAGCGTTTCCATAAAAAAACTCGATCGCAAGAAATCATGTTCAATAATTAGCTTCTTTAAAGATAAGACAAAAAATTCAATTTGAAAGTTGAAAGTAACGATGACTTCGACGACACAATGTTCATAAAGCGAAAAACAATGATTTTATCTTTAAGCTGTTTTTATGAGGTTTGTCAGAAAAACAGACAAGTATACGCCCACCTGACTATTTTTTAAATCACGTGGAAACGATTGATCTCTCCACTGAGTGAAAATGAGTTCGGAAGAAAGGAACTTGATCCCATCGCGCGACTATCATGCGGAAGCGTGCCAGAGCAGTACTCACTGTAGTCAGAGGTGTCGTCGTTGGAGCCGTTCACCGTGCCGTCCGGCAGGATCTGCAGATGCCGGTTCTTCACGTACATCTGTATCTTCCTGGAGGCGCCGGTGATGTGGGAGAGATTGGCCGACCTCTCGGCCCTGACGCCGGCGTCGCCGACCAAGTCGACCGGCGCCGCACTCACTGCACCGATTACCGTGCCGATCACGCAGCTCGGTCCCGCACTGAGCTTGCGCGCACTCCGTCCGAAGGCGACGAGGAAGAGGAGGAACGCCAGCCGGAGGAGCGAGCGGACGCGTCCGCGCCTCTTCCTGCTCGCGGGATCCTCGCCGGCCTGGACTTCCTCCTCCTCCGGACGTTGATCGCGCGACGAACATCCGTCGTCACTAGCGAATGGTTCACTGGTGTCCTCGCAGGACCTCGCTCCCGAGCGAGAGCGCGAATGGTGACTAGAGAGAAGAGGACTCGCCGCCGGCCGCAGCGTCCAGGAGCGATCCCGGAGACTTCGACGCCTCGCTATCGCGAGCCGCGATCGTTCCGCTCGCTCGACCTTGTCGCGCGCGCCCCTCGCGCGGCAGTTCCGCGTGACCGAGAGACACTCGTCCTTGGGGACATTCTCGAGCGCGCGCGACACTCCCCCCGATGCCAGCAGACACGCGAGTCTCTCGCCTCCTCCTCGCGTCCGACGCGGCGGTTGCGTTGGCGCGCTGCGACTCTCTGCCAGGACGCCTCTTCCGCCGGAGGCTTCCTCCTCGGCTCCTCGTCGCGGGTCCGGTTCACCGGAGATCCTCGGTAAGCTCGCGGCTGACTCGGCGAGTGAATTCGCGGCTCGGCGCTGTCGGCCGGCGGAAGTCGGCACGTCGGAATCACAGTGCAGCACCCTAGGCCCGCCCGTGTCAATCTCAGCGGGCATGACGGTCTCATCCGACGCTCCTTTCTTTGCCCTCCTCCTCCTTGTCGGCGCTACCGCCGCTTTCCGCTCCTTATAATATCGATCCTATCCCCCTTTCTCTTCCCTTTTCTTCCTCTTCTCCTCTTCCGGTTTTACCTCACCGTTTCGTCGTAACGACGTTGACGAAGGTCGCGGCATTAGAGCCCCATATCAGAGCCCTTCTTCCCGTCGTCTCTGGAGGAGATACCCCGGGAAGGCGTCGGCCGGAAACGGAGGATGCGGCTGCCGATCCGTCCATACACCGTCGCGCTTTCGGTACTCTCGCATTATTGCGGTATGCAGCTCTGCGCAGCACCGCCTTAGCTACCGATACAGCCGATCCTCGGGCCCCGGTGTGACCTGCTGCCGCAGACGAGAAACGATGACATCGAGGCGACGACGATGGCTGTCCTCCGTCCGAAATCGCCGAGGATCCTCGGTGCACTGCGAATGATCCTGACAGCGAGGATCGGTCGAGCCCTCGATGGCAATGACCATCGAGGAGCCCTTCGTTAGACCTTATCTTATACGTTAGTCCTTATCTTCTTCAGGCAGCTCGTCACGAATACGAGTTGACATTATCGGCTACTCTCGAAGATCCCGCCGCTCTCCCGCTCCCCGCTGCTATCGATAGGCAGAACAGGCTCCCTATCTCTTCTCCTTCCGCCGGCTTCGACTCCGCCTGACCGATTTTCCTTTTTCGGGATTCCGTGCGTCCTTCCGTAATCGGCCCCCGGTGTCACGCAGTCCACAGAGATCTCGGCAGACCCCCGCGTTACGCACTACCACTGCTTCACCGTTTATTTTATCCGTCACCACTTCCCCCTCGCGTTTCGGGAAAACGACCCTCCCGACGCCGTTGGCGGAAGGGGGAGGCTCGGAACTGACCTACGCGCCGCGTTCGAGATGCGATGCTCCGAGGAGAAAGGCTGGAGAAAAAGAATTCCGAAGAACTGGTCGCGGAAACCCTCCGTTTCGCAACTGTTCCTCCTGAATTCGGGGGGGTCCAGGGGTTACGTGCGGAGATCGTGCGCCAATTCGCCGTGGCGATCTCTCTCGGTCTGATCGAAGCCACGCGCTCCGCGGACGCAATTGTCACCGGGGGGGGAGGGGAGGGAGGAAGGGGGGTCACAGGGGTTAAGCCCTGCGGCGGCCACACGTCAGGGTTATCTCGCAGGGTCGGATGGTGCCTGTGCGGCGTCCGAGAAACTACTGAACGAGTGCCGCGGTTCTCTTCCCCGGCTCGGGTTCGGGCACGCTCCTCGATTCGCTCTCGTAGAGAGACCGAACCGGCGCGGCGGCGGCGGCGGCGACGGCGGCGGCGGTGGCGGTGGACGGACGGATCGACGACGGCGGCAGCAGCTGCGGCGGCACACCAGCGCGCACCACAGCGGCGGCTCGACGCTCCGTGGCGGTGGCAGCAGCCGAGAGTGAAACCACCGACACTGTACCAGCGTGCTGAGAGTTCTACTCACACCGACCTGTCGCGGCAACATCCATCCCATCCCGCTCTCGGGAGAGCCGGCTGCTAATAATGATCGTCCGGTACCGTCCCGTCGTATCGTTCCGCTTCCTTCGTCCCATTCCAGAGTCGCGACGCAGCACGCGACAGATCTGGACGCTCGCGAGAGACCGCTACCGCGCGAGCATCACCTCCTCCTCCACTACCACCACCGTCACCACCACCACCACGCGTCTCGCGTCTTTTGCCCCCTCCTCCGCGCTCTTTCTTTCCTTTTCCTTTATCTCTCTTTCCCTATCTCTCGCGAGCTGCAAGGTAGAATCTCTTCTTCTTCTTCCTCTTCCCGCTCTTCTTCTTCTTCTTCTTCGTTAAATCTTATCCCCGTCTCTATCCCACACCATGATGACCTTTTTCCTCCTTCTTCTCTCGGCGAGTCTCTTCCCTCGAGCTTCTTCTGCTCTTCCGTCTATCGTAGTTTCTCCTCTTCTCGTTCGTTCCGCTCTTCTCGCGTAAACCTCGCCGCCGCTGCTCTCTTCGATCGTCCTCCGATCCGCCCGGTCTATCCCGATCGCATCGGCGAGCGTTCCTCTTCCCCGTTTCTCTTTCTCTCGTCGTGCGGAATAGGCGAGCGACCAGGGCAGTTACTCACCGGCGGGAAGAAGACGATTGGCGACAAGGGCCGTGAAGGACGCGCGCGCGAACACCTGTGAACCCGAGAAGATGAATCGCTCGGAAATCGCCCCTCTTGCACGAGCGCCCGCGTTAAGATTCCTCCACCGTTTCTTCTCTGCCACCACCACCGCCACTACCACTTCTTCGTCCACGTGCACCTTCCTTTTAGCGGGACGCTTTTTGACCTTTCTTTCACACCGACCGGCATACGCCAAGTGCGACAACGTTGTCGGTCGCTGCTATTGATGTTGCTGCGGTTGCCGCTACTCGTTCTACGTTTGCGACTTCTCGTTTCCTTCGACTGCGTCTTTTCCTTTCCATTCTCTTCTCCATTCAAAATCGAAAGCGGTAGGGGTTAAACAATACGTCGGGTGCTCCTGTGAACATAAAGATGATCGGTTTGCGATTCACCTTGTATATATGAAAATATTTATATAAGTTATATACGTATGAGAATAATTGTGTCGATGTGTAAGATAGAATATGTACATGTAGAATAAGTTCGATAAAGGGGGGTAGAAATATTTTTAAAAAAGTTATGAGCGATTTTATGTCACTCGTGCTATCAGTCGAGATTGCGTTTCGATATTTCACACGGATTTCTGCGTAATACGATGTACGGCAGCCCTGAGCTTCATTTTGCAGTAGCATTAGCATCTCCTCCGCTTCGTAATTTCCAAGTAATTTCCATTAAATCAGAGCCGGGAATTTTATAATAGCGGCCGTGCAATCCCATTCCGGCGAAACACGACGATTAAGGGAATGATCGTAGCCGAACGCGTAAAAGCACGTGCGCAACGGGACGGTACATCGATTGTTCCCTCACTCACTCACTCGCTCGCTCTGAGGGAAACTATCGCCGGCGCGCTCCAGAAGTGGAAATGTCCGCTTCTTACGTGCGCTTACCCGCCTTGTACGAAGATAATGGAGAGATACCCCTCATCGAGCAACGCGACGAACGCATTCCCGATGCTCACGTCTTCCACTTTTATGGCCACACGTCGAATTTCCGGTGTGTCGTGACGCAGAGGAAGACGCGAGAAAATACAGAGCATCCTCGAACCGAGGGCGACAGAACGGAGAGGGCAGGTGTGAGTCACTTAAAATCACTTACCTTTCCTACGGGTTCCATCATACGGTGATACGGGATATTCTCCGGGACATTCTTCAACTACCGTTATATTACTTTACATCTGAGACGTGTTTCGTCGCAAGCCGAAATTCGGACGACGCGTTGTCTTGGCGAAAAATTTCGGAAACGCAAACCGGTATGATAAAATGTCACTTTTTAAAATTAAATTTAAGCGGACGAGTTTACCGTAACGAAATCTAGAAGTAAGCATCGTTAGCGGATTATTTAATATCCAGTAGATTCTACATATGCAAAAATATATGTCATTTAATTAAATTACAGAGATTGATTTTAGAAATTTTAGAATTAAAAAAATTGGGTTAGCCTGTAGATTTTTCAAATATCGATGTACTTTCGGGATCGTTGTGGAATTAAAATTTAAACTCGGATAATAACGAGAACAGAGTGTTAAGTCAAATAGTAATGAACCGATAGCGGAATTTATTACTATTTTTAGATAATATATATTACAATTATTTAATAATATAATTATAATTATAATAATCATGTTCTAAGTGCGTTAATAAAAATGCTTTTATGCTCGTCGGATAATCTAATTACAGGCTTTCGTTAACGTATTAAATATAAGGTGAGAGTGTGTATTAAAAGTATAAAAAACGAATGGTGCCTATTTATTATATATGAATGTGATAAAAACCAGCAAAAAAGAAACTCGCCCAACGTGGGGCTCGAACCCACGACCCTGAGATTAAGAGTCTCATGCTCTACCGACTGAGCTAGCCGGGCTTGTGGTGGATTTCTTCCAATTGAATGTAGTATGTTACCTTTCCCTCCCTACCTTGCGCGTACTTCATTCACGTTAATAGATCTATTGATTACACTGGTGAACAAATTTAGTACCATGAATTATATCCATTTTAAATTTGAATCTTTTCTATTTATATTTATGTGTTAAAACAGGCTTATCATCGATTTTCATTGCAAGTTCCGCCAAATACACGCATTATCTCCGGAAGGAATCACTCATTGATAAACTTCCCGAATCGAGTTCTCGTGAAGCAGGTCGAAGCGAGTGATGAAACTTTGTACAAACGAGTCCTTGTTTGCAGGACGTCGGTTTTATCGCAATGCAGACGCGAATCTATTTAAAGAACGTGGCACGTCAAAACCTCGGAGAGAAAGACGTTAATTAGCCGGCTGCAACTTTAAATTTATCGTCAATATCGAAACCCGCTCCTCTATCTCGCTCGTAAAGCAAATACCGTCACGACTGCCATCGGCGGATCGGTCCATACATAGGGATGTTGTAATACTACCGATATAATACTGGTATCGAGATTTTTCTTTCAATACCGGGTATTGGTGCATCGATATTTTCTTTCGAAATTTATACCACTAATACTACTTCGTTTCGATATTTTTTTTTTTCTATTTCTTACTCAGTCAACCTGAAGTGTCGTTTTGTCCATACAGTGTTTTTCTCCACGTATATCGAGTAATTTTTGACATGCGATTTCGTGCTTCTGACGTCGTCAAATACGTCGTCAAAAATACTCCATTATGCTACGCGTACTACATTCGTGTCGTTGCATCGTATCCGCAACGGTTACGCTTCGGGGATATCTCGTGGCAACGTGTTCCACGTGGAATAACGCGAATTAAATGGGATAATTGTTACGATGCAATTTACGGCGGGTAAACACGACGGCCAATTATGTCAGAAATTAGTATACGGCGAGTCACAATTTGCAATGC